CTCACGAGTCTATCCATACAAAAATTACTCCAATCCGATACCAAAATCTTGATCAAAACCCCAAAATTAGGCCTAAGAACTTTTTCAAAATTTTCCCCAATTTCTCACCCCAAATCCAAAATTAGATGATGAATTCATGTTTAGATTAATGGGTTATAAGCAAAAAGGACTTAGGAATCATTACCCAATTGATATCTCTGAAAATCCCTCAAAATCTCGTTCAAATCCGAGCTCCCAAACTCTAGTTTTGATATAAATGGCTAACCCTCGATTTTGAAACTTTATAATCTGCCCAGGTAATTCCTTCTTCGAGAACGCAGAAGGCCCCTCATGTTCGCGAAGCACAACTTAACTTGGCCCAGAATTCCTTCATCACGAACGCGGTAGCCACTCTCTCACTCCTACACGAACGCATAGGCATATGACCTCTCAGCTTCGCGAACGCGGGACCAACATCGCGAACGTGGAGCATTAAACTTCCACCTGCCCCAGCTCCTCTTCGCGAATGTGAGACCTGATAAGTTGGTATTTTACCAACTTATCTTGTCTTTAAACTTATGTTTTTGCTATGTTTGAGTGATAAAATCGTGTGTAATGTCATTTACTTCTATTTTACAGGTTGTATGTGATTTAGAAGTAATGGTGAAGAAACCAAGTGAAAACAAGTCAAAAAAGGAGTTAAAATGGACAAATGAAACCTGCCAGTGATTTACCCTTCGCGAACGCGAAGAAGCAGGAAGCTAGACCTTTGCGAACGCGAAGTACCCATCGTGAACGCGAACAATCAGAATTCAAACCTTCGCAAACGCGAAGGATCAAACGCGAACGCGAAGCCTAAGGGAAACAAACCATCACGAACGCGAAGAAGAAACTGGGCAGTTCTGGAAATTCACAACTTTGACCCCAAATCATTTAATACACAAACCAACTCATTTGTAGATATCTTTTAGCTTATTTTCAGTTCCACAGACTAGAGAGAACAAGTTTTGGAAGCTAGGGTTTGCACACACACTTTGGTCTTGAAGATTTGAAGCTTTTGATTGAGAAATTTCTTACCCATTTATGTTTATTTCTTCATTTCTTTGTTTTGTATTGTATATCTAAGTGTGCAGTATTTTATCCAACATTTGAATCTTGTTTATGGAAATATTCATATTTAAAGCGTGGATTAAATACCTTGTTGTGCTTATGTATTGAATGATTTTATATCTTTATGAAGTAAGTTATTGTTTCTTTAATTATTCTTGTTCTTTAATGTTTCCAAAGGGATTAGCTAACCCTAGGCTCGCCCATTAACTCCGAATTAATTTTGGGAAAGATTATTTGGGGTTAGAAAAGATTAATTAACAAGAACTTGAGGCTTTAACCCTCATTTTATAGATTCTACCTAGGGATATGATTGAACTACTTGTCGCCATATCCGGGTGTGCTTAATATTTTAATTGTTTTAGTTTCAATTAGAAATTCTTGTTAGTCTTTGGAAGAAGCTAATACATAATTATTACTTGTGGCTAATTAACATAAACTCGCTCATATTTGTAAAATCGTGAAATACATTGGATCATTACTTGAGTGTAATTCCCGATGCATCCATACTTGTAGCCATTGATCATTTTACTTGCTTTATAGGTTAGTTTATCTTTCCGCATTTAAGCATAATATTTAGTTTATCTTTCCGCATTTAAGCAAAATATTTTCTCAAACCAATTCTTAGTGTTTGGCATTGCATAACAAGTGATAATTCTCGTACATTCCTAATCGCCTACATATTGTTCTCTATGGGATTCGACCTCGACTCATAAGTGGGTATATTATATTGCATGCGACCGTGTCCATTTACTTTTTAGTAGTGGATTTGGACGTCATCAAGACCCCACTCGCGAACGCGAAGAAGGAAATCAGAACTGGAGACCTGCTGCAATTTCTGCAATCTTCCTCTTAAGTCTAAGGTCCGTTAACCACCCGAAATCAACCTGAGGCCCCCGGGACCTCAACCAAATATACCAACAAGTCCTAAAACACCATATGAACTTATTCCAACCCTCGAATCACATCAAATAACGCTAAAACCATGAATCACCCTCCAATCAAAATCTAAAGAACTTGAAATTTCAAGAATCCTACAACCGATGCCGAAACCAACCAAACCAAGTCTGATTGACCCCAAATTTTGCACACAAGTCATATTCAACACTACGGAGCTATCCCAACTTTCAGAATCTGATTCTAACCCCGATATCAAAATCTCACTATCGATCCGGAAACTTTAAAAATTAAACTTTCAGCATTTCAAGCCTAAATAAGCTACAGACTTTTAAAACATAATCCGAACATGCCCCTAAGCCCGAAATCTCTCAACGGAGCTAACGGAATCGACGGAATTCCATTCCGAGACCGTCTTCTCACTGCTCTGACTACGGTCCGAATTTTAAAGCTTAAGCTCTCATTGAGGGACTAAGTGTCCCAAAACACTCCAAAACTCACAACGAATCATCCCGACAAATCAAAATAATAGAAACAAATACGGAGAAAGTATTTAATAGGGGATCAAGGCATTAATTCTTAAAACGACCGGCCGAGTCATTACAGCAAAACCGTTGGAACCCAAGTTCAAGAGTTTCAACTTAATTTGCATGACCTTAATGCTGAAGATATGGTAGTGAATGAAGCATTTCAAGAAAGTTGCCTCCTTCGTGGAGAGATTTCAAAAATTATCTAAAGCACACGTGCAAAGAAATGAAATTGGAAAATCTTGTGATTCGTCTCAAGATTCAGGAAGATAACAAAATAACTGAGAAGAAGTCGCGTGTAAATTCAATGATTATGGGAGCAAATATCGTTGAGGACGCTGGTCTAAAAAGTAAGAAAATGAAGAGGTCTTCTGGACAGACTAATGAGCAGAACAAGAAAACATTCAAGGGCAACTATTATAATTATAGAAAATCTAGTCACAAAGCCCCTGACTATCGTCTCCCGAAAAAGGACAAGAAAAAGGGACAGACCAACATAATGGAGAATATGCATGTTCACGGATCAAATTGGATTAGATTTGGCACATTTTGGACTATAATTCCGGATTCCGGATTTGGTAAATTGCAATCCGAATCCGAACCAAATTAAATTCGGTTCGGATTGAATTTTGATGTTTGGATCTGATAAATATTTCGGATTACGGCTCGGATTGTAAGCCTTATATATTAAGATGCTAAAATAAATGACTTTAAGTATAGTTAGCTATCCTACTTCACCGCAAACTAATGAGTCATACATAACATTCCATACTTAAATCTTTCATGATAAGGAAACTATGTAAGATCACAACATACTTGGATTGAGAAACAGGCAAAAGCACAACCGTTTCAACCATTACATACCCAGCTAGAACAAAAATATAAGGACTTGATTAACCTCACTTGTGTTTCTCAGCAAGAAAACTCAGAGAAACAAGACTTGTCCAATTTTTTTTACTAATTCCTGCCAAATAATAAAATATACTTAGATGCACTTACTATCTAAACAACTTCTCCTATAAGAGCAAAGATGAAGCGACGATATTGGAGTGAAGAGGCATGAGCGATAGAGAGATGGAGTCTGAGTTCTGAAGATAGAGAGACTAAGAGAGGCTTAGGTCTAAAAGCTCTAAGAGATATATTTCGGACTTGCCGATGTGAGAGAAATAAGACAAATGAAACCCTAGATTTATCTGATGGCACCCTTACTTTTATATGTAGACCCTATATTTCGGATTTCGGATTTCGGATTTCGGGTCGGTTTGGATTTAAATTAAGCCAAATCATATCCGATATCCAAAATAATTAAATCTTTAATCCGATCCAAAGGGTTGAAATCTGATCTGAACTAATCCGAATAACATCGATCGGTTCAGATTTTTCGTTTTGACCCAAATAATGCACAACCCTAGTGGAAAAGAGTTATGACATTGATGATCTGTGTGCAATGCTTTCAGAATGTAACTTGGTTGGAAATCCGAAGGAGTGGTGGATTGACTTTGGAGCCACTCAACATGTTTGTGTTGTCAAAGAAGCATTTGCTACTTAGTCTACTGTCAGTCCCGAAGAAGAGCTTTTCATGGAAAATACTGCAACATCCATGATTGAGGGTTATGAGATGATATTCCTGAAATCAATATGGTGATTTTAGATATTTCTAAGTTTTTTGGTTTGTGTCTATGATTCCCCAATTTAAGTTGTTGGAATCTGATAATTGTTGAAGCATTTGTTGCTTTAAAAGTTATGTAAATAGCCTTATTCAAAGTCCAAGCAGTCAAAGTTATGCAGCTCCTACTGATGCCAATTTCTTTTAAAGAAATTACAAGCAACGATTACCTTGATCGTTTTCAGGATGACCTTTGATTTCTCAGCAATCTATATATAATATTATTTTTTCTCTTGCTGTTAGGAAGTGATAAAATGCTAGTAATTTTACAACTCGATTTCTATGCCTTTAGTCCAAGAGGTCTCTAGAGAAACTAATTTTACTTGTTGTTTAGTACCAAAGACATGTATCTTCTATAGCAAATTAATGGTGTCTATATTAAACAAATGAAGGTGAGCCTTAGAACAATATTAAAGTTGTTTTTGAAATTAAATATTGATGTTTGCATCAGTAGATATATCCTCGTGGGGTGCGCCTCTTATCCGAATTCTGCAAGACGTTTTGTGCACTAGGCTACCTTTTTTATTCATTTATATCAAACCAATAAATTCACCATGAATTTTGCATATAAACTTCTTTCACAATTTCACTTAATTAATATTTATTCTAATCTTATTAAGTCACTTAATCTAATAAGTTGATATGTAACTCTAACATGAGATGCTTTAAGCATTAGGTTGTGGTTCTTTTGTTATATCAAACTAATAAATGCATGTCATGAATGGTAAGTTGATATGCTTTGCTATAAAAGTCCGGGAAAAATAATTTTTATCTAAATTAACCAGATTTTTGTTGTATGAAAATTTTGAAAAAGAAAAGAACAGAAAAAAAAGAAGAAAGAAAAACACTAGAGCACTAACTTCTTTACAATCTACCCAAATGTATCTCCGCTTAACCCCATATCACAAAAATCTCTGGGATAATCTCATTCCCTTTCTATTATTGCCTGCAGTAGAGTTCTTACATTTGGGGAATACAAATACAAACACAAAAAATACCCAACAAGAAGAAGGAGGGATAGAGAGGTGTAGACAAATTGGCCTTTGAGGGTTTGGCTTGCTTTCCTTTTTTTTTTGTTGCTCTAAGTTTCTCCCACTTAGATTACATATCTGATTTTCTCCGACCCTTTTTTTTTCTTCTTCTTCCTCTTTATCTCTCTCCAATCCATACCTCTTAATACATATATAACTATATCATCATCATAGTGTATAGATTTTTGTGTCTTGGATAGTATTGGAGCTAAAAACTGAAGCTTTGTTTGAATGCAAATTCTCTTAATTTGGGTAATACATTTGATGCCTAGTATGGAAGCAAAAGGGTTTATTACCGTAACACCCACAAAGCCAAATCAGTAAGGTTTGTGAAAAACCTTATAACTTTGCCCATTATCTTGCATTTAAGATGGGAGATTTGGTGATATCTGGGTTTTGATCATTTTGGTAATAGCTGAATCTTGAATTGTGCTGTGGTGTGACTATATGTTGGTGGTTTGGTTTCTGCTTAGGGCATATTGAGGTTAACAAAGGGATATCCTTTGCTGGTTTTGGGATTTTAGTTTGAGATTAAAGGGTCTCAGAATTCTTGGCTTTTTTGGGGTTTTGCCAATCTTACTGTATTTGAGCACCTGATTAGTTGCTGGTGAAGCTGTCACCTTCTGGTTTTCCTAGGGTTTATTGTGTGATAAGCATTTGTTCCTCGCTCGCTTGTCAGTTTCTTATGATTGTTTGTTTCTCAGCAAGTGTTTGAAAGTTGCCCTTGTCTGCTTTTATTAGTGGTGTAAGAACTCTGGTTTTGTGAAATAGTTCGTGTGAGAGACCAAATTAGATATGAACAGGAGGGTTCGGAGGAAATTGGCAAGGAGGGGACAGGAGAAGGTTGATTTCCCTGAGCTTGGTGAGTGTTTAACTTTGGATGAGAGAGGGATAGTTGATTGGACTAGGTTGCCGGATGATACAGTACTCCAGCTATTTTCATGTCTGAATTATCGTGATCGAGCGAGCTTGTCATCCACCTGCCGCACTTGGAGAACTTTAGGTGTATCACCATCCTTATGGCAGGTTTTAGATCTTCGTCCCCACAAGTGTGATTCTGATGCTGCTGTTGCTCTTGCTCCTAGGTGCAGGAATCTTCAGAAACTTAGATTTCGTGGCGCTGAATCTGCAGATGCAATTATACAGCTTCAGGCTAAGAGTTTGTGTGAGATTAGTGGCGATTACTGCCGCAAGATCACAGATGCTACATTGTCTGTAATTGCTGCTCGACATGAGTCACTTGAAAGTTTACAACTTGGCCCTGATTTTTGTGAAAGGATTAGCAGTGATGCAATAAAAGCAATAGCCATTTGCTGTCCCCAACTCCGGAGACTTAGACTTTCTGGAATTCGCGAAGTTGATGGAGATGCCATCAATGCATTGGCTAGGCATTGTCGGAATCTAATGGACATTGGTCTCATTGATTGTCTCAATGTTGATGAGTTGGCTTTAGGAAATGTTTTGTCTCTTCGTTTCCTGTCGGTTGCTGGCACAACTAATATGAAATGGAGTTTGGCTTTACAGAATTGGAGTAAACTGCCTAACCTGATGGGCTTAGATGTTTCCAGAACAGATATAATTCCTAATGCCGCTTTAAGATTGTTTTCGTCCTCACCATGCTTGAAGATCTTGTGTGCCTTATATTGCCCAGCCCTCGAGCAAGATGCCAGCTTTGTTTCCAATAACAATCATAAAGGTAAACTACTACTTTCTTTTTTCACTGACATTTTTAAAGAAGTAGCATCACTATTTGCCGATACTACAAATAAAGAGAGGAATGTATTTATGGAGTGGAGAAATTTAAAGACCAAGGACAGAAAAATGGATGATGTAATGAATTGGCTGGAATGGATCCTTTCCCATTCACTTCTGCGAATT